AAGGTTATTTACGTGTAAGTGAATATAAGAAAACTAACTAGATTTGAAACTCGGCTCTGCGATTAAGAATTCATTGCACCACCCTCACATCCAAGCTTACAACACTTGATATTCCCAATCGGTCGCCCAACTACTTACTGACCAGGTACAATGTTGCTTAACTTCGTTGATCGTAAGGAAAGCGCTAAACGTCAACTTTCCGAACTGCTGTTATTATTTTTAAATATCAGCAACGTTTCGCAGTTCTGGGTACGCGAGTTCAATCCTAACTGGAGAACCAGTTACTTTCATGTATAGCGCCTCCGAATGAGAAATTGAATAGCAGATTTTAAATTCCAGCCGACTTCGTTACTTCCCCTTACGCGCAAATACTCTTGAGGAAGGCATGAATCCATATTTCCCCACCAGCTATAGATTATATCGTAGGACTTTGTTATCATTGTTATACAGTATTCACACGGAAACAAAAAGAATTCTTCTTACAAGCCAAAATATGTTTCGGCTTTAAATAACCTACAAAGGGCTGATAAACCGTAAAAAATCAATAATAAAAACGAAATCAATCCTAAGTCAGTGTACCACTTCTGTGTCTTTGTGCTGACCTAGGCTTAGTAATATTTTGAAACACTTGCTAATGTGCCATGATTATTCTTGTATATTACGCATCTATAACTTTAGACTACGAAATAATAGAAAAAGAACGTTGTCATGCATTGTACGCACCTGTGTTCAACATCTGTTCAACTTATTACCCGGTTCCAATCCACTAAAATCTCTGTACAAGTCGCGTGACTGTTATCAGCATAGAAAATGGAAACGGCGTGCAGGGTTCAATTTCTGACCAAATCCGTTTCCTTCAATTCGCACTAATACGCTTGGAAAAAGCAAGAATCCCTTTTACTCCAATTGTATGTTAAATACCAGTCAGAGTAGCTTCAATTGCATTGAGTGGAAGCCAGATTACAAAAAAAAAAGAAAATTTGCATTATTTACATTATTCTGACTGTTATCCTCATCTTCATTGCCATATTCAAAACGTTTCGGCCGTTGTACGCTCCGGCTTTTATGTCTATGTCTCTCTATATATCTGTCTATATCTCTGAGATTAGGTATTATGATTACTTTGCATTATTTACATTATTCGGACTGTTATCCTCATCTTCATTGCCATATTCATTAACGTTTCGGCCGTTGTACGCTCCGGCCTTTTATGTCTATGTCTCTATATATCTGTCTATATCTCTGAGATGAGGTATTATGATTACTTGCATTATTTACATTATTCGGACTGTTATCCTCATCTTCATTGCCATATTCAAAACGTTTCGGCCGTTGTACGCTCCGGCTTTTATGTCTATGTCTCTCTATATATCCGTCTATATCTCTGAGATTAGGTATTATGATTTCTTGAATTATTTACATTATTCGGACTGTTATCCTCATCTTCATTACCATATTCACAACGTTTCGACCGTTGTACGCTCCGGCCTTTATGTTTATGTCTCTATATATATATATATGTCTCCATCTCTGAGATGAGGTATTATAATTTCTTGAATTATTTACATTATTCGGACTGTTATCCTCATCTTCATTGCCATATTCACAACGTTTCGGCCGTTGTAGACTCCGGCCTTTATGTTTATGTCTCTCTGTATATCTGTCTATATCTCTGAGATGAGGTATTATGATTTCTTGAATTATTTACATTATTCTGACTGTTATCCTCATCTTTATTGCCATATTCACATTACTGCTGACTGATGTTCTAGTTACAATTTTTCCGGTGTTAATCTATTTTGTTTTTCGTTGATAAATGAGTAAAACATTTCTTGAGTTATTTATTCTAAACATCGCTCGAGAATGAAACTGTACTCTAAAATTTAACTTTAATACTGAAATTAAACTTTAGGACTTGATTCAAGTTTCGAAACAGTAATTTTTGTGTCGCGATGGAATCATATCTTAACAAAATGATTATATATATATATATATATATATATATATATATATATATATAATCCGGTGTTCTTATTGATATTTTTATTTTTTTATTTTTACAAAACGATGCTCAATGTAAATTTACAGAGCATAAATCTTATAAATTAACTGACTGAAAATATGGTTTTTTTTTGCTCCACAGTAATAACTGTGTTTCAATTTAAATTTAATTATATAATTAAATTAAAAGCATTAGTTCCGTTTCATCTTCAAGCGAATATTGGAATAACTTATTTTTTTCTTTTTTTTTTCTCAATATTCGCTTGAAGACGAAACAGAATTAATGCCTTTAATTTAATTATATAATTAAATTTAAAGCTTTGAATTTCCATTTTTGAAACATGGTTATTACTGTGTAGCGAAAAAAAACGTATTTTCCTTCAATCAGTTAATTTATAATATATATATATATATATATATATATATATATATATATATATATATATAAAGTATTATAATAGAAAGAAATATAAAAATAAATTTTTAAATTCTCCTTCCCTCTCTAAATTCGTCCATGTCTCTCACACCATTTCTCGCTACCTTCTATGTTAACTTATATAAACAATACTGCTCGTCATAAGTGTAAATTTTAATTTCATTTTTTCGTTTACCTTTTGAAAGTGATATGTGAGGATCCAGGAAAATTAAAAGTCTCTGGTGAAATAAACTATTACAATGGAGCCTTAAAGTGGTCTGTTTTTTCTTTTAAATATATATATATATATATATATATATATATATATATATATATATATATATATATATGGATTGATGGACAGATAAGTACATCCGTCAAATTAAGCGTCGAGATGAAGAAATATGATTAAGTGAATCGGCGGATAAAGCCATGTCTATATGTTTGGCTGATATAATTTCCAAGCGAGATGGCTGAATTAAAGGAATTGAATAGACTGGAACAAGACATCAGATCAGATAAGCGGATATTAAAAATAACGACGGCCAGACAAGAAGACAAAATAGACGGATAAGAAGTCCGTACACTTTAGTAAAACAGCATTAAATGAAGATTAAGTTTATTTAATATTGTTTTACGAAAAAGTACGGGTTTCTTACGCGTCTATTTTGTCTTCTCCTCTGGCCGCTCTTAATCATTCCAGACAAAGACGGGATTTATGGTTGGACAAGACAAAAATGAAAACATGATTACTTCCGATCTTGGGAACTCTTCTTAAACAATATTTTTTTTAAAGTAATGCTCACCCAGTACAAGGCCCAAGAGCCACTAAGGCTAGATGCTTAAGTAAGGTGATAATGCCTCCAACACGCAAGAGGCCACCGGAAGCAAAAGAGAGGACAGAAATTTGAGAAAAGAACAGGAAAGCCAATCCTAAACAGGGAAAAAAAGGGATAAATCCTCTACTCTTGTTCAAAAAGACGGAGGGTGTACGAAGCGAACGCCAGGCAAATCTATTTACTCCTATTGAAGAAGAAAATAAATAAATATTAAATAAAAATATAGAGTTTTAGGCGGAGACATGTGAAGTAGTGAGATGAAGTGAACTTTAGATAGAACCAGAATCACAATCATAAAAAGGAAACAAGCGATAAAACTCTGGAGAAGTGTGAACCGGACAATAGGCAAAAAGCGATAAATGGAATTGGACTAAGATAGATAGATAGATAGATAGATAGATAGATAGATAGATAGATAGATAGATAGGATATGAACAGAATAACACAGATAGATACATAGATAGACAGATAGATAGTTATTAACAGAATATTACAGATAGATAGATAGTTAGATAGACAGATAGATAGGTAGATAGATAGATACATACATACATACATATGAACCGAATAATACAGATAGATATAAATAAAATTAGATAGAGAGAGAGAGATAGATAGATAGATTGATATGAACAGAATAAGAAATATAGATAGATAGATAGATAGATAGATATGAACAGAATAAGATAGATAGATAGATAGATAGATAGATAGATATAAATAAAATAAGATAGATAGATAGATATGAACAGAATAATACAGATAGATAGATATAAATAAAAAAGATAGATAGATAGATAGATAGATAGATAGATACATACATACATACATACATACATATATATGAACCGAATAATACAGATAGATATAAATAAAATAAGATAGATAGATAGATAGATAGATAGATAGATAGATAGATATGAACGGAATAGAATAGAATAGAATAGATAGATAGATAGATAGATAGATCCGCCTTAGTTCTACAATTGAATGTAATTTTCTCATTACTTTGATTAATCCCCTTCGGCCTTTGATTCGCCCTTCCTCCCTTTTTTGAAGTCTTTTATTATTCATTACAACTAATGCACATTGATTCGGAATTGGTTTGCGGTGTTCACCCTGATAAGCTCCGCTACAAAGGAAGAGGCCGTCGAATGCAGCTCCAAGCTTAAAGGATCAAAGATTTTAATCTAACGGGCGAAAAGACATGTGTCAGATTTAAACCAATAAACGAGAGATGGCAGACAAAAATTTGTTGGCCGGAAATTTTAAGATAAGCCTTTTCATTTTTATTCTTCATGCATTATTTCACATCGAATATTTATCGCTATTGTCTTCTTGCATCAATTTCGACCGACATGTTCTCCGGGCTACAGAATGTTGAATGGAGAACCGAAATATAATATGTTTTTCGCTATTTAGATTCGAGATAATGTCTTCATTTTTGGCTCTGTCATCAGAACGTTTCGTCCGTTATTCACTTGGAACTTCTTCAGCTGCTTGTCGATCCGATTAACCCTCTTCGCATTTTGATGTGAATCCATTTATTTAATCTACGGAATCGGCGTCGAGTCGAGAATATTGACAATTCAAGTTCTTCATACTTCCCGCTTAAACCTGTAGCGCGTCCGATGGATGGCAGGAAATAAATATGTAAATTCGACTTTTTGCTCTTGATGTTTAAATGGGAAAAGAAAGGAAATATTTAAAAAAAAAAAAAAGGCGAAACGTAAATGAACATGGCGCTAAAATAAATTCTTTGACAGAAATCGAATGTGAAAAGGAAAAATAAGGAAAGAAAACATGAAAGGAAAATATAACGGAAGTAAATTGGAATAAATATTTATGTTTTGTGAGTAGCAATAAATAATGAGATAGATAGATAGATAGATAGATAGATAGATAGATAGATCAACCGAATAAAACAGATAGATAGATAGATAGATGAATAGATGGATAGATATGAACAAACTGAGATAGATAGATAGATAGATATGAACACTGAGATAGATAGATAGAGAGAGAGAGAGATAAACAGACTGAGATAGATAGATAGATAGATAGATAGATAGATAGATAGATAGATAGGGGGGAGGAGATATGAACAGACTGAGATAGATAGATAGATAGATAGATAGATAGATAGATAGATAGATAGATAGATAGATAGATACAGAACGAGATAGATAGAAAAATCTACAGTAAGCGAATTAGGATAAATAGTAAGTTTTTTTAAGTAACAATAAATAATAAGTTCTTTCTAATCTTTTAAGAGAAAGGAAACAAAAAAATTGTTGAACCGTTGCGAAGCTAATTTAGCAAATAGTAGGTCGGCCTGGAAACAGTGACAAGAAATATATATATATATATAAATAAAATCATTTTTAAAGCCTATGTTTAAGTAAAAGACACAATAAATACAACGAGGAAATAAGAAAATGGAGAACTCGAAATAATGTTTATTAAATAAAGCCAAGAAACAACCTAGCGCAAAATAATGGATAAGAACGAGAGAAAGAAATGGATTAGTTTTGACGGGTTAAAAGGAGACTATTAGATTGTAGAAAGAATTACGTCATTTAGTTTCTACTTTCACTTTCACTTTCGTTTTCTGTTAAAGTGCATTGTAACTGGTTGGGATTCAATCTAAGCCGTGCTTAGCTAGTTTCATTCCTTGATCGCATACAAGATTCAGATTTCAGTTCAATTCTTATTGATACGAATTTGTAAGCTTGTTTTTATTTACATACATACTGGTGCTATTGTTTGCCAGTAAATGTAAGCGAGATATGAACAGACTTAGAAATTGAGAAATATAAGGACGGAATTAGATAGCTAAATAGAACAATGAAAAATAAAATGAAATAGAAGGATATATATATATATGTATGTGTGTGTGTGTGTTTAAGTGATAGAGAGAGAAAAGAAGAAGAGAAAGAAAGAAACAAAGAAAGAAAGAGTCAGGTAAGAAAGATTGTTAGAGAGAAAGGGAGAAGGAAAGATAGATACAGAGTTATCGACAAACCTTGGTTTATAGATATAAACAGACTATATATATAAACAGATATATATATATATATATATATATATATATGTGTGTGTGTGTGTGTGTGTGTGTGTGTGTGTGTGTGTGTGTGTGAAAAATATATAGAAAATAGGAAAGAACTCGTTAGGTAAACAAATAATCCAAATTTCTTTAGTATTTTTGTTATTATTTTAAAAAAATAGTGCTCGATTCAAAAGTAGAGCATAAATATAATTATGTATTTAAAAATATGATTCCAACACGCTACATAAGAGTTCTCATGTTTCAAAATAAGAGCCGAACACTTCAATATAATTATTTGAATTAAATTGAATTAAAATGCGAAGCTCTGTTCTATCTTCAAGCGAAATTTTTTGGGGATTCCAAAAAAAAATTTAAAATAATTAATTATATATATATATATATATATATATATACTAATGTTCTTATAAGTATAAGAAATTATACTCGTCCAGAAAACATTCGGTGTTTTTATTTGCAAAGAATCAAACCAATACCAAAGGGGAAAATGGTATAAAAAAAGAAAGAACGTACGTCAACCGAAAATAAACGTACAGCATCCAAGTCCAAAGTCCAAAGAAAAAAAAAACGATACGATAAGTCAAAATAACTAAATAAATTGCTCAACAAGGTAAGTAAAGCAGACCTAGGTAAAACTAAATGAGCCAGATAAACCTATCAAAGGTTTCGCCTACGCCGATCGTCAGGTATGGCTGCCTTCCTTGACGATCCGCTTAGGTGAAAACTTTTAGGTTTGTCTGGCTTTATAGGTTTAACTATATATATATATATATATATATATATATATATATATATATATATATATATATATAGTTAAATCTTCAACTGCTTAAAGTCCTTAAAAGAATCCAAACGAGTAGAAAGACTAAAACATAGAGTGCTCAATACACTAGTGGACTTGGGGAATCCCCTGGAGCCAGGCAAACCCTACCCATAGGTTTCACCTAAACGGATCTTCAGGGCAAACTGGCCAGTTTCGCCTGAAGATACGTTTAGTGAAACCTAAGTAAGTTTCTCTAACTCCTTAGGATTTATTCTAATATATATATATATATATATATATATATATATATATATAAAATAGATATGAATTGACTGAGATAGATAGATAGATAGATAGATAGATAGATAGATAGATAGATAGATAATGAACCAGCTGCGATAGATAGATAGATAGATAGATAGATAGATAGATAGATAGATGGGTGCGAAGAGTAGTAAACGAAAGTTCGTATCAAAAATCGTGCAAAGTTCTCCGGGTGACCCACTTGCCGAAATCTGACCAGATGACGAAATATCTGAAATTTTAGATTGTGTGAAATCTGGAGAAATTTTAAGAATTTTATTTATAAGGAAAAAAATTATGCCATAACGAAAAAAAAAAAAAAAAAAAAACATTATATATGGCTTTAAGCAAAAGAAAGTAAAAAACCAAAACTGCGGCACATATCAATTTCTACAATTCTTACGACACTTTGCACTAACCGCTGTAAGTTCTTTGCTTTTAACAGCGCAAATGTCTGTCCTTATAACACCTTTTAGTCATTTAAGTAACACTTCGAGTTTTTTGGGCTATGGAAAAAAGATTTATGGCAGACTCGACAACAAAAATTAAAAACGACAAATTGAAATATTATATGTAAGCGTAAGTAAAAAAAAATAAATAAATTCACGTTTCTTTTTGAAAGTGAAAAATTCAAAATGTGCTATCATATAAAATGCGAACAGCCTCGTGTCTGATGTAAGTGCTTTCTTTACGGTAAAAGGTGTATTCAATCCCATGTCTAACCATCCTGGCTAGGACCCACTGTGACACTTCTATTGTAGCACACCATCCATATTAACTCCACATTCCATCGGTGAAAAGTAAGTTCCTCTCAAATGTCTTCTTCCCGTAAACACTGATCTGTGGAGCAAACTCCTAAGGGGATGTTTCCCCGAGTGTCGAGAAGAGGTTTCTGGTGACCCACAAAAATCTCAACCCTTTTTCCTAGAATCTCATTGGGTTTATGTTCTTAATAGAAGATGCTAAAGAGTTTTCTCATGCATTTTTCCTCAAACGCTTGGATCCTTCCCTCTGTCTCTGCCAACAGCATCCGCGTTTCACATCCATATTAGGAGAATGGAGACGGCTACTCAATTGTTCTGTCTACCCAACTTCACTCGCAAGAATATGGTTTTTCAAACGTTTTTCAAGAGTGGCGCAGGTTGGGGTCGCCTGTATAAATGTTTGGCCGAGTGGTTGGAACGTTCTTCTTCTTCTTCTTCTTCTTACCCTACTCCTCCTCCTTCTTCTTCTTCTTCTCCCCCATACTCCTCCTCCTCCTTCTTCTTCTTCTTCTTCTTCTTCTTCTTCTCCCCTACTCCTCCTCCTCCACCTTCTTCTTCTTTTTCTTCTTCTCCTCCTCCTCCCCTCCCCCCCCCTCCTTCTTCTTCTTCTACTCCTCCTCCTTCTTCTTCTTCTTCTCCCTACCCTCCTCCTCCACCTTCTTCTTCTTTTTTTCTTCTCCTCCTCCTCCCCCCCCCTCCTCCTTCTTCTTCTACTCCTCCTCCTTCTTCTTCTTCTTCTTCTTCTCACCCCTACTCCTCCTCCTTCTTCTTCTTCTCCCCCATACTCCTCCTTCTTCTTCTTCTTTTCCCCTACTCCTCCTCCTCCACCTTCTTCTTCTTTTTCTTCTTCTCCTCCTCCTTCTCCCCTCCCCTCCTCCTCCTCCTTCTTCTACTTTTCCTCCTCCTCCTCCTTCTTCTTCTTCTTATTCTTCTTCTCACCCTACTCCTCCTCCTTCTTCTTCTTCTTCTTCTTCTTCTTCTCACCCTACTCCTCCTCCTTCTCCCCTCCCCTCCTCCTCCTTCTTCTTCTACTTCTTCTTCTTCTTCTTCTTCTTCTTCTTCTTCTTCCCTACTCCTCCTCCTTCTTCTTCTTCTTCTCCGCCATACTCCTCCTCCTCCTTCTTCTTTTTCTTCGTATCCTCCTCCTTCTCCCCTCCCCTCCTCCTCCTCCTTCTTCTTCTCTCCTACTCCTTCTTCTTCTTCTCCGCCATACTCCTCCTCCTCCTTCTTCTACTTCTTCTTCTCCCCCTCCTCCTCCTCCTTCTTTTTCTTCTTCTCCTCCTTCTTCTCCCCTCCCCTCCTTCTCATCCTTTTTCTTCTTCCTACTCCTCCTCCTCCTCCCTATTCTTCTTCCCTATTCCTCCTCCTCCTCCTCCTCATTCTTCTTCTTCCCTACTCATCCTCCTCCTTCTTCTTCTTTTTCAACAATGAATCCCACGTTCTAATCTCGACATGGTCGATTTAGCAGGGATTACATTACCTTATCAGCCTGCTGTTTCTTTTTGCTCATTTTTTTTTTTTTTAAGCATTTCTCTCCAATCAAGTCGGGAGTGCCACTAGCATGCAGAGTTGGGGGAGGTTACAGAGTATGAAAGTAAGAGAAAAGACTGGGTAGAGGCGGGATTGGTGAGAGGATGAAAATAAGAACAGGAATCAAGGCATCAGAAGATGGCGATTGACGTTGTATTTATATTTTTAAAGATTGTGCAGATCAGGGAAGCGAGTAAACGGAAGGGAGTTCCACTGCTGGGAAGTGCGAGCAAAGAAACTTGGAGTAGAAGTGGCGGTTACATTTAACTATTTCAACACTAAAAAGGTGGGACCTACATGCCAACCTAGTAGCACGCTTAAATCTATGCAGTCGGGACACCAAGGACAAAAAAAAAACCCAACAGAAGGAAGTCACATCACATCTGTGAGAAAGTGATTGAAGTCGAGATGCCAAGTCAGGACCGACTACATTGCAGATACTTCGTTGTATTTTATCGAGGACTTCGAAATAAACAGCTGGGTCACAAGAATATAATTTTTTTTTAATCGTGTGGTGAATTATAAATTTTGTATGTGTTATAAAAAATACGATACATCTATATATATATATATATATATATATATATATATATATTATTTATTTTATTTGAAGCTGATCTTCCTTACCTTTCTTGCTGTCGACTTCAGCCCTTCGTATGCTCGCTAGATTTTATGGTCTGTCTACCTTTTACTATTTATCACTGTTTTGTCGCCTCGTCATTTTCCGCCATCTTTTCTTCCTTTTCATACTCAACAATAAAAACCGTCATTGCATAATATTTTTCTTTAAAAAAAATATTTCTCTTTTTTTCTTGCAGGTAAGTCGAACAGAGAAAGCATTTTCCATTTTCCCTCAGTGCCCTCCGATGGTAATGTATTTATTTTTATTTCCTTACTCTTTTTGCTGATTATTAACAACTAATAAAGATATATATATATATATATATATATATATATATATATATATATATATATATATATATATATATATATATATATATATATATATATATATATATATATATTACGTTTTTTTACGTTTTTTAGCATTTTTAACATACAAATGAACGCCGGAAAATATTTTACACAAAGAGGCCATAAAACTATAAATTTTGTGTACACAGATTGACAGACATATCAGAGAGTTTAAGAATAAAAACAGGGCGTCTATTTCAAACACGGATATGCACTAAATATAACGTTTTAAGCAACATATCTGGCTGTGTAAAAACAATGGCATAATACTATAAAATATATATATATATATATATATATATATATATATATATATATATAGGCTAACCCTACATCAGAAAAAAACATCGTTGGCAAAACAGTTTTAGCAGTCAAATATAATACTTGTTTTTCTATTATATATATATATATATATATATATATATATATATATATATATATATATATATATATATATCCGCTATAATATAAAAATATGGCCGGTGGGTGGGTTATTATTACATGTCAAGAAACTGATCTATTTGTAAATTGAAAATCTACGCTTTAGGTTTCTAAAACGTAAAAACAAAATGCAAATCTAGTTTAGCAGGTTCGATCCCTGTCAGAAAGCGCATATTTTTCTAATACGAGTTCTCGTATATTCAGGACAGTTGATGTAAATAAATAAAATACTGTTTAATAAATAAATAAAAACAAGGCGTCTACTCAAATATGGGCATCCATTAAAAATAACGTTTAAGCAATAAATTAAAATATTGCGGATTTTGAAACGAAAATCCATTCTTATACATATATATATATATATATATATATATATATATATATATATATATATATATATATATATATATCTAGACCTACATAGCAAGAATGAAAAACTGAAAAGAAACAAGTAAAATCTAAAAACCTAAAACACATATTAACCTCATCCAAATTTAACCAACACACAATACAGGGAGTCACAAAATGCAACAAAAAAAATGTGGAGTTTGTGACATCATTATAGAAGGAAACTCCTACATTTTTTGAAAACCCCAAAACGACATTCGTAATAAATAAATATTTAAACTGCAACTCCAAAAATGTGATTTATGCACTCAAATGCACAAAATGCAAAAAGTCATATATAGGTATCAGCGAACAACTAAACAACAGGATCTCCCTACACAAAAGCAACATAAAATTACAAGATACCAGAAAACTCTTTGTATCACAACACATCTATAAATGTAACCAGGGTGAATTTAAAATTATGCCAATATACCAAACAGACAATTATTCTTGCCTACAAATACAAGAAAAAAACTTCATGAACAAATTTAAACCAACACTAAATAGATCACGCAAAAACATACAACATGCACACATAATGGCCAAATACAGTGATCAAACCCCTTGCAACTATGTCCACACGCTCACACGCGGGTATATGTGAAACACGAATATGTATAAGCATATTGACAAAAACAATGGACTACTCACAGGCACGCGCTCAAACCCCCCACAATATACGAAGTGTGTGTGTGTGTGTGTGTATGTATGTATATATGTATGTATATGTGTGTGTATGTGTGTATACTAATTCCTTATAATAAAACAGTATGTATGTATAGAGAGGAAGATATGGGATAAAGTGCTCAATATCAGAGATAGAGCCTATGTAGATATAAAAGTGAACATTGAAGTCAACACTCAGAGGCGACAGGCTGTTTCATGCTAGACGCAATCGTCAGGCCCCTTCTTTCTTCTGTTGCACTTCTCTCTAGATCTTTCATACATTTCTCTCACACATTTGTTTCCCACTCCCACACATACACTCTCACTAAAATTTTGTTTTTTATACTCGGAGTTATATTTTCTGATTTCTTTTTGAATTTGTAGGTCTGATGAATTGGATCGTTATTACGATTCCAATGTAATAAATTATAGCCATGGAATATTAGTGTTTGAGCCTTTTATATTATATTCTTACTCTGTCCTGGACATTGAGTTCTACCTGGATTCTATCCTCTTGGGAGCATATATATATATATATATATATATATATATATATATATATATATATACAAGTATATAATTGGTGTATACGGAATGAATTTTAATAACCAACAATTACTATTCTTAAAAGAGTGCTCAATACAAAGTAGAGGAGATATAATTATTTATTTTAAAAAATTATAACATAAACATGTTATAAAATGACTAAAAAATAGCCATTTTGTTTCTTTCACTCCATCATGTGTTGAATGCAAAACAAATTCAACATCATCATTGATAAAACACCGTGAGTGTTGAAACAAAATGGCTATTTTGTAGTGATTTTATAACATGTTTATGTTATAATTTTTAAATAATAATAATAATAATAATATATATATATATATATATATATATATATATATATATATATATGGAGAGAGAAAAAAAAGATTGGTCCTGTTACAGCT